GACCAACAACAACACTTACTGGACCAACAACAACACTTACTGGACGTCCGGCGCGGAGAACAATTAACGAGATAATGAGAAACTGACGAAACGAGTTGCTTACTTTTAACAGCTTTTTCACAGAAAACTAGTTTTCGCACGTAAGCTCCCTTTTCGTAGACCAGGTCACATATACTTCTGCAAGTACAAGTGCAAATGTTAAAACATAGGTTTGTATGTGTATGCATGTATCCATGTACGTACATAACTGTATTAGAAAATTATATGTACTTATGTATACAAGAATGCATTGAAATGTTCTTTGAGCCAGTTTTGGGGGTAAATATTGCATCTTAGTTGATTTCAAAAACTTATCCCATGTATGTATGTACATATATTTACTGAGTTGTACTATGGATATTTATTTATTTTAATTAACACAGGCTGTTATGCTCAGAAATTTGGCGCAAGGGGTTATGGTCATATAGGAATGTCTTCTATGGGTCTTATGTCTGACATAAAAGATGCCGAGTGGCAAAGGTATATACCCGTAATTTAATGATAGAAAACAAAACAAAACCAGTTAATTGTATGAAGTCGCTGGTAGCCTAAAGCGTCGTTCTTGTGTTCTAAGTATTCAATGTATACAAACCACAATATTGACATTATAGTGGAGTTCAGTGCACAAATTGATTAAAACGGTGGGAGATGCGATCAAATAATGTACATTATTTTTTTAAATTCCATTTATATTATAAAATCAAATAAATAATGTTGTTATAAATATCATGTACTATTGTATGTTATATAAAGTTATTATAAACGTAATAAGTTATGACTATATCAAGTGCTTTGACACTTAAATTTAAGATGTTAATCGATGAGTGCACTGAACGGCTCAATTAGCTCATATACAATGCATATTTAATAAATCGCAACATACATACATATGTGAGACATGAAAAGCAAAACGGAAACAATTCTGTATGTATGTACACATTTTTTATATTTATTTCTGACCTCTATGATATGCAGTGATATGGCGCCAAAGGTTGCAGATATAGATGTTGGAAAGATACAAGCTCGCCCAGGCGAAGGCTGCCCGCGTTGTGGTGGCGTGGTCTTTGCTGCAGAGTTGGTGCTATCGAAGGGTCGCGAATGGCACAGGAAGTGTTTCAAATGCAGAGATTGTACAAAAACTTTGGACTCTATCATTGCGTGCGATGGACCTGACAAAGAAGTGTACTGCAAAACTTGCTATGGAAAGAAATGGGGTCCTCACGGTTACGGATTCGCATGCGGATCCAGTTTTTTGCAAACCGATGGCATGACGTTAGTTAATTTATTTCAGTTATATAACTCAAAGATTCTAATCCGTTCGTGATTTTTAGCGAAGATCAAATTTCCTCCCAGCGACCATTTGTGTGTCCTGATACTACGTCAATAAAAGCACCTGAAGGCGAGGGCTGCCCACGCTGCGGCGGAGCTGTTTTTGCTGCTGAGCAACAGCTCTCCAAAGGTCGTATGTGGCATAGGAAGTGCTACAACTGCACTGAGTGTCATCGCCCGCTGGACTCGATGCTTGCCTGCGACGGACCTGATAAGGATATTTACTGCAGGGCTTGTTATGGCAAACGATTTGGCCCGAAAGGATTCGGCTATGGACACGCACCAACACTGGTGTCGACTTCTGGTGAATCTACCATTCAATAGTAAGTAGCAAATATACTGGTATATGAATATATGTATGTTCACATTAGATTTTAACTCCAATAGCCTTTGTGGCGGCGTCGTTAACTAATTAAAGTTTTTCCCAGCATTGACATCTCGATTCCAACAGGTACGGCAATTTGGACAAAATTGCTACTTGTGGGGCTATTTGGACATCCGGTTGATGCTAAAACACTTTCCACAAAGTTTTGTTGTTCTAAATTCGTTAACCATTAGAATGTCTGCTTTGCGTTGTCTTAAAGCTGCGATTAGCAGACGATTAGGTACTCGCCTATATCAGCGTATTGGCGAGTTCGCAGCGATTTCGGTTGAACCTATATATATTAACGTACTATCTTCTCTGTTTGGTACCAGTTGTTTCTCAATGTTGTTGCAGGCTTTTCGTCGGCAAATGTACTTCTTCAGCTACAGCCGAGCCACCTTTCTTTGCGAGAAGATTTTTTGTTTTTGTTCCAGTATTTCAAGCTGAAACTTCTAATATTCACGAAAGTTCGATGAATTTGCAGACAATTCTGGTTTTGTGGTGAAATCTTTCGAATATTTATCTACTTTTAGTTAGCGAGAAGATAAACCAGAAAGGGTTTGGTAATATGTATTTTTTATTTTGACAGTAACATTCTTCGGGATGCCCCAGACACCCAGGATCTTGGCCAACTTTGTTTTTGTATTTCGTTACGCGTATTTTTATTAAATCACCTTCACAATCGGTTTCTTTTGCTTTTAGTTTTCTTTTCTTCACTTTAGTTTCATTTTGTATTTTTATTTGATTTTTCATACAAAATGGGTACACGTTGAAGGAAGTTTAAAAATTCACTTCTATCGAAGGAAGAAAATCGTCCTTTGAATAATTTTAAACGACACAATAGGTGGTAGAAAGCAAATCCATCATATCTGATGTGATGTTAACCGTGTTTTAGTTGTGGAATTAGTGAATAATTTTGAATTTCCTTGATTTCCTTATACCGTGCTGGTTGAAAAACAATTCGATTCGATTTTAAATCGTTCAAGTAACGCTTCATCTGGGATATTTTTTGAATTTTTATCGAAAGGGTAGCTCAGTGTACTATATACTTACTTAAAATGTTTTCGCAGCCGAGTATATTTGCGTGCACCCAAATATTGTTATGGAACAGAGTCAGAAATTTATTCGCGTTTTCCACAAATAAATTGGAACGGTACGAACCATGATAAAAACTACGAACTATCGTACAACTTCATGTTTTTACGCAGGATAGTGTACTCTTCATCGATTATATACTTTGCTTTTTTCTTCACCTTCAAATGGTATTAAGTCATGAAAATTCTGATGTAAATCTGACGGGAAGGAAATGTGATGAAAAAATTTGCATCATTACATTTACATTTAGGGACCACCCTGATGTGCATACGTATATACAATAAGTGCATACGTATTTACTATGTTTTTTTTTTCTTTTCAGCCCCGAAGGTAAACCATTCACTGGACCGCGTTCGTCGGGAGGCTGTCCACGGTGCGGTTATGCGGTCTTCGCTGCTGAGCAAATGATTAGCAAAAGCAGAATTTGGCACAAACGTTGCTTCCATTGTGCTGATTGTAGAAAGTCCCTCGATTCAACCAATTTAAATGATGGTCCCGATGGTGATATTTATTGCAGAGCGTGTTATGGTCGAAATTTCGGACCAAAAGGTGTTGGTTTCGGGCTTGGTGCAGGCACCCTGACAATGACATAAAGTACTTTTCCAAATAATAACTATGTATAAATATATACATATACATACATATGTACATATGTAAACGTATATGTATGTGAATACATATAAATCCAAAGAAGAAAACAAAACACAAAAACGAACTTAACGAAACGCAAACGGCTATAATTTTCAGTACGAAGTAGGTATTAAAAAACAAAAAAAAAAACTTAAACTCGACTAAAACAACGATCTAATTAAACGAAAACTCACGCCACAAATTAGTTTACATCGAGGACGAACGTTTTACTTTTATTTAAATCTCCTTTTTTGTATGCGTGGATAAATTAAGACGTTTTTTTTTTTATATACTATACATACAACATATTTTATATCTTTTATTCGTACAATTCATTCAATAACTTTTTTCATCAAGTTATTTTAAAGACTGTTCTCTTAACCAGTACCGTGTATCAATAATTTTTAAGAAACGTGTTGAAATAAGTCATTGATTGGGTTGTCTGAATAGCAACATATTTAAAAAATTTCCTGAATGCATACTATTAGATTTTTACATATGTATATATAGTATATTTATAAAAATGACAACAAAGTATGTGTGTACGTGTAATACAAAAGTTGTCGCCAAGTATTTATGTATGAAAAAACTGTGCGTATTTGAGAACAAAATATAGAGCGAAAGACCCTAACTAATAAAAGTTAAATTGTTTTCGCAGTCAGATGTACACAGTTGCCATTATAGAAGAAATAGTGACATCTTATTTTCGAAAATTTTCGTGTTCTTCGTCTTGATTAATGATACATTCTCCCAGGTAGAGAATGTTTTTCACAGCAATGACGTCTCGATTCCAACAGGTACTGCAATTTGGGCAAAATTGGTATCTGTGTGGCGATTTCGATGTCAGGTTGATTCTAAAACACTTTGCGCAAAGTTTTGTTGTTCTGAATTCGTTAACCATTAGAATGTCTGCTTTGCGTTCTCTTAAAGCTCGGATTATATCAAATGAAGTGCCATATTGAGGATGAAAAAGTGCCAAAATAAGCCAAATAGAAAACTAAAAGTGCCCAGAAAGGTGTCATTGTTTTTAATTTTTCCCATTTAGCAATAAATCCTCCTCGATCTGACTTATCAGTGTATTCACAACATGTATCTTTACTGAAATCAATTAATTCAATGATTAAACCCTCTGATTCATTGATTGTGTTGGGTGACTTTAATTTACCAAATGTATCATGGAACATCATTGACAATGATATTGTACCTTTCTCGTCTAGCGCGTGCAACAACG